ATATATATATATATATATATATAGAAGTAATTAATTTCTCTCCAAGAAAGAACCAAAATTAGCACGAGGAAACAAGTGCAATATAACCTTTTAAATTCAACTTGACTAGATTTTGTTTACATCAGTGATAAAAATCTATTTCCAAGCATGTAATTATACCAGGTAGAAGAAAAGCTTATTCAGAGATATCCTCCCACTGACCAAAAAAAAAAAACCTGCTATGCTCAAGAAATCATAATGAACCAATATACAGACAACCAAAAGGACATTTTGCTAGAAGAAGTCTTTAGTTTCTTATTCAACATAAGTCTAAGAATGCGATATATTACAACGGAAACAAAAATATAAAAACGGAAAATAATAAAGATCCACCTAATATCAACAATTCTTCAAACCATATACCTATAACTTCCATGCGGAGAAAGAAATTATACTGAAAGAAATTAATTCCCTTCAGCAAGTAAAAACCGATATTTGGACATATACCATGAGCAGCGACAATTACGATAAGTTCGCTAGGAAAGTATCCACTTTGTCATTCGTCGACCTCTTCAAAAACTTCATGCAAATGGGTGGCTTCACCTTCGCCAGAGCGAGAATCGATTGAGGCAGAGTCCATATACCATCTCCACAAATCAAACCAGCAGCAACCGCAGGTGCAAAAGCAGCAGCCTTCGCCTTATTAATCCTCTCCCATATGAAGAGTATCAAACTCCCTACACACATATCAATAGCAAAGTATGATCCCAAATAAAAAGGAATCGCCATCGCCATTGGCAGCGGTATAAACCTTGAAACCTTCTTCGGTCCAATATCTCTCAACAAATTGATGGCAACAGCAAGAGCAAAGAACACGTAGCAGAGAGTGAGGCAGTTCTTAGGAAGAGAGCCAAAGCCATCGACTCCAAGAATCGCCATGTTTCTGTAAACAAGAGCATAGGGAGCTGGATACTCGCTCCCTGGAAGCCCCAGATCACCAAAAGCCTTGTAGAAGAGCCAGAAGACACAAGGGGAAATAACACAGCCCATCGCAGTTCCAATCACTTGGCTAACAAACATAGACTTTGGAGATGCGAGGGTGAGATAGCCAGTTT